CCGAAGGGCCAAAGGGCCCGGGCCCCCAAGGGAAGCCCGAAGGGCCGGGGCTTCCCAAGGGGGGAGACCGCCTCTGAGCCCCCGCCGAAACGCTTCTTCACATCCTCATAAAACACAACTGCCTGTGGGCAAAATGATTTAAAACTAGTCAAGTCAATGTTTGACTTGGACCTAGTTGGGAACGTGGAATTTCCCATGGAGAATCAGAGCTGTCACCGGGGCACGGGGAACCGGAGCCGCCGCCCTGCCCCTGCGTGTGGAGAAGACCGACGCTGGGCCCAGGCAGTGACGCGGGGCGGGACGGGCCCGGAGTCAGCAGCACACCTGGGGGCTCAGGCCCGGTTTGGACGCTTGGTCTGGACCTGCCGTCTCCCCACCCCAGCTCCCTGACCAAACCCTGCTCTTCCTCCTCCGTCAGCCTGGCCCCAGCTGCTCTTTCCCACTGCAGGGCTTCCCAAGATGATTGTGGCCTCTTTCTTATTCATGGAAGAGAACTCGGAGTGCGGAAAACATCCTGTTCCCTTTGACCTGCACCACACGGCTCCCAGGACTGGCCTCAGACCCTCCGCGGCCCCTCTGTCCTCTAAGCCAGCCCTGCAAAGGCTCACGGTGCAGCCTGGCACCATCGACCCCCGAAAATGAAAGACGCGCCCCCCAGACACTCCTGAGCCCCCTCTTTTCAGCCAGTCCAACCTAGGATCACTCAACTTTGTCAGCCTTTCCAAAGAACCACCTTCCCTTTTGATCACCGTCCCTGCTTTCCTGGTTTCTATTTACCTACAGCCCGGTCTTCCTTGTCTCCTTCTGCCTTTGGGTTTAATTTGCTTTTTCTCTGGTTCCTTGAGGTGGAGTCTAAGGTTATGAATTTGAATTCCTTCCTCTTTCCCACCACATGGGCTTACAGCCATGGCTCCCGGGGGCTTCGGTCTGTTGTGACCACGTCCCTCTTCTAACCGCTGCCACCGGGAAACAGCCAGCGGGAGGGGACACGGGGGTCGTCCACTCTGCTGTTCCCTGAACTAAAACCACCCAGAAAAGATGCAGCGGCTTATAAACTGAGTTCTTCCTCTGTTGCTACTGAAGTCGTGGTCCATAAAAAGAGACACTTTGGGGTTTCTTGTTCGAGATACTGCGACCCATGAGGGCAGATCAATATGAACGACAATGTAGATGCCAAGCTGAGTCTATATAAATGTCCCTGAGGTCGAAGAACACACTTCATAGTGACCAGGAAGCGCCAGACAAGGGTCTCTTCTATCACCCGGAGCCATGCCCAGGTGCCAACGTTGCTGCAGGAGTCAGGCCATCACGACCCTCTCCCTTCTGCCCAGCCTCCTCGTAGCCAGTGTGGAGAACCAGCTCCACTTCTGAGCAGTGCCTCTCAGTTTGTGGTCTGGGATCGGATGGCTTCGCAGGTGACCATGAGGCAGCGCTGACCAGAACGGGGTTGGCTTTCCTAGGGAGACAGAAAACTGAAGTCCTGGCCTCCCTTTGCTGCACAGCATGCTCTGCCCGCGAAGCTTCTCGGGTGACTCCAGTGGGAGGCGAGTACGCCCTGGCTCCCAGGCCGCCGCTGTTCTGGAATGTTGCTATGCCTTTTTAAACAGCTGCCACATCTTGTCCAAGAGGTGGCCCCGTTTCAATCGCGGGTGAAGTCACTCCTGTTTATATGTACAGTTGCAAAGAGTTTCGGAACCCTCTGGCATGAAAAGCATCTTAAAATACATCATTACCCACTTCTAACAATAGTCGGCGAGGGCCGGGGCTCAGGGCCCGCTCCCCCAACACGTACTTTGAAAAGTGATACAGTCGGCCAGGAACCGCTTCTGACGGGTTGGCCACTTTTATCCAGTTGATCGGAGCACAGCTGAGAATGTCGCTTTAATGGTGAAGCAGATCTTAAGGTAATTTCTTGGAATGCGTATCAGATGGGATGGGAAGAAAGTGAGTGCGACTGAACAATCACCCTCTAACGCAGCTGCCCCGAACAGCACAGGAGCCAGCGCCAGGCAAGGGCCTGCTCTGCAAGGCACGTCGCTGCTGCGGTCGCCACGCGCCGGTGAGCCCAAGGACTGTGAAAACCAAATGCCTTCTTCCAGGAAGCCGCCCCGCAGCACGGCTAAGCGGGGCGTATCAGTACCAACCCCGCAGCATCCGCGCCGCCCAACCGCTCACGTCTGAGGGGCGGGGTCGGCGCGCCAGGCGTCACCAACTGCTCTGCAAGCGGGAAGACGAAGCCAGGCAGAGTGAGGTCGTTCCCGCAGCCTCTGCGTCGGGGCAAACCTCAGGGGTGGGGGGAAGCCCCTTCTCCCCACTTCAGCCTCTCGTCCCAGAGTCAAGGGACAAGGGTCAAGGTCAAGGGCTGCGCCTCAAGACGAGATTTCTCCTCAGCCTCAAGTGTAAGAAGGTCTCGGGTTTAGCTCAATGCAAAACGTCATCGAGAGCAAAAAGGAAAAGAAAAGGAAGGATAAAAACTGACTCCTCCCCCAAATAGGCAAATTGAGCCTATTTGTTGATAAAATGCAGCTCAAACTATTTGCTAGACATGAACAGAACGCAGCCTTGCAGACAGTCGTCGCTTCCTCTCCAACGTCTTAACCCTGTGATTTCACGAAACCCGTCAAAGCACAAACGTGCCAAGTCGTCCTTGAGAAAGTTAAGAAGCACACTTCTCAAGTCCTTCAAACCGAGAAGTGACACTGTTTTCAAAGACCGCCCCACGCTGGGGCCGACGTCTACCTTCCCTGCCCAGAGGTGATGAAAGGCATTACTGAGACACGGTCCTGCAAAACCATTTTCATCGCAACTAAAACGCGGTTGGTTTTGCACGTCTGATAATCCCCTTCCTACACTTCTGTCCACCTCTCGCCCTCGGTCACAACTCCAAAAACTGCCAGAGGAGTTTGCAAACTGAAAACTGGATTCAGGCCAACGTGCAAACTTTCTGTTTGCTCAGCAAACACCCGCGGGTGCGTAAGTGCAAGAGCTCCCTGACCTCGGCAGGGGGGAGCACTGAGCCGGAGCCCTCGCTCGGCTCCCTCCTCCTTCCCCGGAAGGGAGCAGCCTGGTGCCCGCAGGGCAGGGGGTTCCTGCGAGGACTGTTCCCTGGCTTAAACAGGGAAGGACAGGTGGGGCTCGGAATGCAGAGAGCCGGGGTCAGGCGCTGGCCGGCTCTTGACTGCTGCGCGGCCGTGGCTTTGGCACCTGCCCTGCTGGACGGTCCCTTCGTAGAGGCAGCAAAGAGGAGATGTGGTCACAGGTTCCTGATGCAGCAAACCAAGGCCTCTGTGCTCCCTGGAGGGGAGCCGGGTCCCTTCTAGACACACCTCTCCCTGCCTGCCGCCCTGGAGTTCCTGGACTACGTGCTCCCTCTCTGGACCCTGCGCTCCCCCAACCCCGTTTCCTGCAAGGCTCCTTCAAACCTGTGTCCTCCCGCCCCATCTTGTCTTTCAGACGCAGCTCAGCCACCACTCGTGAGGGGCCCCCAAACCCCCTGCACCTCCCGTGGGCCTCAGGCGCACTGGTCCCAAGTCGTCCTCCTGGCCGCCTGGCCACAGGTCCCCCTGAGCCGCAGCAGAGCAAGGATGCTTTAACTTGCAACCGTCTGGGGAGGCCTGTGCAGCTGTGAGCATCCCAGACCAGGAAGCCAGAGCAGAGAGATGTCTACGTGACCAGTGAGTGACAGCTGGACGCTGGGCCCTCGAGAGCCTTCCGGAGGTGGCTCCTCTGTCCACTGCGCCTCTGACAGCCCCTCAGTGTGCGAACCTTCGATGCCCTGAGCACCCCTGACAGCCACCGGGTGGGCCGCCCCTGTTCAGAGAGCCAAGAACCCAGCCCACACTGCCTGTCCTGCAGCCGCCTACCCCCGGGCTGTCCCCGCCCTGCAGGTGACCAAGAGCCTTTACACACAGCCCCCAGCAGCATCCTGCACAGAACGGACAAGCACTAGGGAGACGCTAGTGTCCCTTTAATTACAGACATGCTATCTGGCGGGGAAAGGACCCACCTGATAATAGAGTAAAAGTGCCCAAAAGGACATTTATGTGCATCACATACAGATACACAATTTTCTGAAAATGCTAATATTGCTCAAACTAAACTGAAAAATGATTCCACAACAGAATCAGAACTAGAATATTCAAACTGAATATCCGACGGGATGCCGTAAGAGCGGAGACCCATGGGCTCAGGGAAACATCTGTCCCTGGAGCTGACGCAGCGGGTTGTCACACGTCCCCAGGAAACAGAAGCATGCAGTGTGGACAGATGGTGGCCCCTGAGTCAAACTCACTGTCCCAGAGAATGAGAATGCACTTGGACCTGCTGTTGTCTGGTCGTGCAGGCTTGTGACCACATCCGCCTTTGTGATTCCACCCGTGCTGAGTCCGTGCTAACCCACACGTCCTCTCGTTTTTCCAGAGTCTGCTGTAGTCCTCTGTCTTCTTTTCCTGTCACGTCCTTATTCAACCCGGTGACATTGTTTGGAAGTTCTTCTTGTGAGACAGTCTACGAGATCTTGTAGACTTCTCGTGAGACCATTAAAACCCTGAGTTACCCGTATTCTTTCTTCTTCTTTAGTTGAAGTATAGTTGATTTACAATGTTGTGTTAGTTTCGGTGTATAGCACAGTGAGTCAGTTATACAAATATATATTCCTTTTCATATTCTTTTTCATTATAGGCCATTACAAGGCATTGGATATAGTTCCCTGTGCTGTACAGTAGGACCTTGTTGTTTACGTATTTTATATATAGTAGTGTGTATCTGCAAATCCCAAACTCCTGATTTATCCCTCCACCTCTCCCCTTTCCCCCTTGGTAACCATGTTTGTTTTCTGTGTCTGTGAGTCTTTTTCTGTTTTGAATAAGTTCATTTGTGTCCTTTTTTTTTTTTTAGATTCCACATATAAGTGATATCATATGATATTTGTCTTTCTCTGCCTGACTTACTTTACTCAGTTAGTATGACAATCTCTAGGTCCACTCATGTTGCTGTGAATAGCATTATTTCATTCTTTTTTATGGCTGAGTAGTATTCCATTGTATAACTACACCACAACTTCTTTATCCAGTCATCTGTTGATGGACACTTAGGTTGCTTCCACACCTTGACTATTATAAATAGTGCTGCTGTGAATACTGGGGTGCATGTATCTTTTTGAATTAAAGTTCCCTGTGGATATATGTCCAGGAGTGGGGTTCCTGGATCATAGGGTAAGTCTTTCTAGTTTGTTGAGGACCCTCCATACTGTTCTCCACAGTGCCTGCACCAAACTGCATCCCCAGCAACAGCGCGGGAGAGTTCCCCTTCTCCACGCCCTCTCCAGCCTTTGTTGCTTGTAGGCTGTCTAATGACCCACATTCTGTGTTCCCCTGGTACCTGCCCACTTCTCTGCCTCTGTCCTGTAACAACCTCACTTAAAGACAGAAGCTCCTTTGTGGATTCTCCTGGTGATGGATTCACTCTAGCAAATCATTGCTATACAAAATCAGCTGTTTTCAAACAGTCCGTGTTAGAAGTATTTGGGTGCGGAATACGTAAACGAGATTGGCCACAACCAGTTCATTCTTGACCAAAACAGCTGGGTGATGGGTACGCAGAGGTCCATTCGTCTAATGTCTCCGGTTTGGTAAGGCTTGAAAAGTCTCCATAATGAGGCAATTAAAACGACATCATTAAGCAGGGAGCTGTGGGACTACCGCCAGGCATGACAGGGGCACCTCACGTTTGACGAGCTTCCGGAGCCCCAGGCCTTGCACCTTCTCCCCCGGGGCCTGTCCCGGCGCCTCCGCCCTCCACGCCTCTCCCGTGTCCTGTCGCAGGTGTGGGTGTCTGCGGCTTCACAGGAGTGGTCTGCAGAGCCCTGTGGTGTCCATGGAGGTGCAGTGATGCCAACAGGGTGAAACAGGTAAGAGAATTATTTTAAAAACTGATGATTTAAAAAAAGGAAAGTTCTGCGATAAACAACAAGGTCCTACTGCACAGCACAGAGAACGACATCCAACACCTTGTGATAACCTGTCATGAACAAGACTGTAGGAAAGGATGTAAGTATGTGTAACCGAGTCACTACGCTGTGCGCCAGAACTAACACAGCATGGCACAGCCACCACACTGCAACCGAAAGGGAAGGCGGGAAAGTTCTGGAGACCCTGTGCGGAGCAGGCAGCCCACACACCCGCCCCCCAGCCACGCAGAGAGATGCTCTCTTTATTCCAAACACGCACTTCGGGGCACATTCAGCCTTTTGTTACTACTTTTCACTTTCGGAGTTTCCTTTGATGTTTCTTTCCAATGCGTTTTTACTCACTGGAAATATGTGGAAGAGGGGGCTGGCGCGGTTTGTCCCTGTCCTTTGATCCCTGTCTCGCCGGGTATGGGACACCCAGGGGCAGCCGAGGGCTCAACCCAGCCAGCCCTGATGGGTCGCCTCCTACAGGCACTGCTTTCAGGAACACGGGAGACCCCAGGCAGAGGCCACAGCAGCTTACGCAGCCTGTCTGTTACCGTAGCACCGGCCAGAGCAGGGCGGGGCTGGCAAGAAAAACTTAAAACATCAAAGACCAAAAACCGTCACAGCGCCACCAGGATGGAGGAGATCTCGCTGAGGAGGGAGCCGCGAGTTCCAAGTGGAGGCAGAGGAATCCGGGAAATGGAAACACTCCCCAAAGGCAGAGAGCTCTCTTCCAGGGGGTCCTGACGTTGCAAGCTTCTGCCCTCAGCACATGTCTGACGCTGCTCGCCTGCATCACCCTCCTCCTCCAGCACAGGTGTGACCTCCCGGCCCTCACTCACCTGTCCCAGGAGACAGGCAGGTAACAAGCCCACTCTGTCCCCCAGCCCAGCTCTCCGGCTGTTCCCACCACAACCACTCCCTCTGAAGCTTCGCAGGGACCGTGCTGGTCCTGAGACTCCAGCTTCACAGGGTGACAGCCGAGGGGCCTCTCAGGAGGACCAGCCCTCTGGGTGAGGGGCCCCCAGGTCTGAGCAGCCTCCTGGCGGTCCTCAGCAGACCCCGCTCGCCCCACCTCCCACACATCACAGCTAGAGAATCCCAATCCCAGCTCACGAGGAGAAATCAGCCCTCGAGACGAGGCCCTCGGCACTTCTTCTAGGGCTACAGAGAAACTCGCCCAAAGAACAGCCCCGAACAGGGAGGGTGCAGGAAACGAGTGTCCAAAAGGCAGCGTCAGCAGAACTCACTCTCAGGAACGCTTTCAGCCCTGAGGGGTCTTGGGAGGACTGGGGCTGAACGCCCAGCCTGGGAAGTCTTCTACCCTCAGGGAGCAGCCGGCAAGATGATGGGGAACCCTGCAACGGCGGAGGCCTCCCTGCTGTGAGCAAGGGCGCGGGCAGGACAGTTGCTGGGCTCCCGCGGGGCCACCCGGACGCAGGTGCCCCGGGCAGCCGACGGATGGCCTGGGTCAAAACGTGTCCCCCAGATCTGCAGCCATCCCGAGTGCCTGTGCCTGACACGGCTCAAGGCTACCCCCATCCTGACCCCCGTCCTCTTCCGACGTCTGAGCCTCCCTGGACTGGACGTGAGCTGCAGGGATGCGGGCGGTCTTCCCGCGCGGCGGGCTCTGGCCTGGCGCGGGGTGTGCTCGGGGAGGACGCGGGAAGTGGCCCACTACACTCAGGTCCGTCTGCTCCCCGTGGGGGTCTGCCACACCCACCAGGCCCTGGCGCATGGAGAGAACCTGGGATCGGGGCTGCAGTCCCAGGCTCAAATCACTACCACAACGACGCAGGGAGAGCCGGTCTTGGGTAAACCTGTACTAAAAGGCGGAAACAGCTGGTATGTTATTAGCAAGGTATTTAGTTGATTCAAACCTATTTTGTGATGCTCACTGGCATCTGGAAAGGCAGCTCCATCATGGTGGGGCCGATGCTTCCTGGGGAAACTTAAAGCAAACAACAGCATAACCATCACGGAGCCTGCAGGGTCTCCATGTGCGCTTCTGTCCCAGACGGAGGCGTCAGGGCTCTCTGGGAAGGCAGCAGTCCACTCCCCGAAGGAAAACCCAGCATCTCTTCCTCAGGCTTTGTTCCCACTAATTCTGCAAGCGCCTCCCAGCAGATGATGGCTCTGCCGTGAGGACGTCTCTGGGGGGGGAGGGTGACTTTCCAAGGCCTTGATTGAAAGCACCACCTAACAATTTGCCAAAAGCGAGAGCTGGAGAACCTTTGGCATCTTTGAATTGCAACTGTTTTCTGTCCTCGTAAAGAAAAAGCTAATCATTTTTTTCCAGCAAACCACCCCCTCTGTCTCCTGCACAGACTGTTACGAAACGGCCAAAGACCACACACTGGGCTTTCTCGATCTTCGCAGGTTTTTAAAGCCATCATCAAAAGGCAAAGAACCGGAGAGGAGGATTTCTCTCCAGCATAGCGTCTGAAGTGGAATTCCGTTGGTAGAAAGCTATTCTTTTCTGGTTACTTTCCACAAGTTCCATCTCCTGACTAAGTGTTTATCATCTCGCCTCAAGAAAAAGGAGACCAAAAAAACCTCCAGCTGTGTCCAATTGGGCAAGTACCACGCAGCCCTGACAGTCCTGCTCTCAAGTCTGCTGGAAATGAACTTTAAAGACCCCAAAATTCAGCCCATAATATGAAAGTTCAATTTACGATAACATTTATCTCCACGTTAATAAGGAATTTGCAAACAAAGATGATTATCCAGGTCTTTGAAGATGTTCGCCGTGAAGCAGTCCAGCACTGCATTAGGGATGCGAAGCAGTTGGTTTTCACAGAGTTGGCCCAGTTGAAGCTGTTCCTTTTTGATGTGAAATTATATTGAGAGAATTTTGAAATGCACACCATCTGAGTCACAGGGGCTGGCTTGGAAGCAGGAATTTAGCACAAACATTTTTTAGCGGCAGATCAATGATGTAAAGTTTGTTTTCAAGGGAGAATAAAATAAATGTTTCACTTCCCAAACCAGCCTGACCCACGGGGCAGGGAGGAACGTGGCACTGGGCCCCCGGCTTAGGAAGGTCAGCCCAGCAGGGACGGCCCTCCTGGGTCGAGTCCTCTGTGGCCATGCTGGCCTCACCTTCCCTCTCGCCGCCCACCGCAGCCTCTCTCCCCAGACTGTGCCCCCGCGGCCTCCCAGCTCCCCTAGGCCGTCCTCTGGCAGTGCTCCTCGCCCTCCCGGCCTCGCCTGCCCGGCCTTCTGAGTGAGAGCACTCAGCCCCGTCCCCCCTCCCGCACACGTTCTCCAATCGTTATCCGTGAGATGTTCGTAGAGTTTCTGTTCACATTCCAGTTTACATCTTCAGTGGCGCAGGAAATCAGAGCCTCCTCCAAACAGCATCTTCAAGCCTCTGATTGCTTCGGGACGTGAGCATCTCTGCTTGTCCTAAACTCACTGCCCAGATCCCCCTTCCATGCTGCTGGTCGTACTGGGATGGCACTGCCTTCAGAGGGAAGTGACATTTCAGCCCTGTGTCTCCTGCTCAGGCTGAGAGCTTTGTTTCATTCTTTTTTTTTTTCCTCTTTGAGGAGCCTGGCAAGAAAGTGCACCTGAATGAAAGTCCAGCCTGAGGAGAAGCCCAGGAGGGGGTCCCAGCACCTAGGTCTCCACTCCCCCGGCGTGGTGAGAGCCCCTTCCGACGCGCAGACAGAGGAGCAGTCGCACCCGCACACACACGTTCTCCTCCGTGCAAAACGGCCACAGTAATTATACTCCAAAAACTTAACCAAGGCTTTCTCCTCAGCTTTTAAAAAAGAGAAAAACCCCATGAAAGTAACTATAGAATATTTAACCATGTTCTCCACTTTAAAACAAACTAATAATAAGTAAAAAGCTAATTAACAGACGCCCGAAGAGCCTGGCTTGGTTAACTCGTTGTGTGGAGTCACCGACTTTCAAGAGTTGAATGTCAAGGGTTTCCGGCAAAACCGCACGTTTCCTTGCTCACCGGTCAATCTGCAGTCCTTGGGGGGTTACTTAGTCAGCAGTGTCTGCGGCTCCCTGTGGTAGTCCTTCTCTTTTTAAACTGAAGTACAGTCAGTGACACTGTCGGCTTCTGGTGTGCAGCACCATGCATACACACATGTGTATTCCTCCTCACGTTCTTTTTCATTATATGTGACTGCAAGGTATTGAATATAGTTCCCTGTGCTCTACAGAAGAAATTTGTTTTTATCTATTTGTACATATAGTGGCTAACATTTGCAAATTTCAAACTTCCCAATTTATCCCTTCCCACCCCCTCCCCCCTCGCCGGTAACTATAAGATTACTGTGTATGAGAGTCTTTCTCTTCTGTAGATGAGTTCATTAGTGTCCTCTTTTTTTTTAAGATCCCACATATGAGTGGTATCATATGGCATTTCTCTTTCTCTTTCTGGTTGACTCCACTTAGAGTGACGATCTCACTGTGGCTGTCCTTATTTCATGACGATGAACTTCTAGCTGCTCTCTAGAGCCACAGAAGTCTGTCCACCAACCTTCCCATCACAACACACAGGGTGGAGATGCAGAGCAAAGGCCATATTCAGGCTGAAGCAGCAGATGAATAAAACCAGCAAGTGCACTTAATAAGCATAACTAAGAGCTAAACACGCATGCATTCGCACACACGTCTGAGAACACGGAGCATCTGCGTCCCGTTTGGGCCCAGATCATATCTACTCAAGATGGTAGCTCGCCCCTCTTTCTGTCTTCCTACCTCTGACCTTCCTCCCTCCATTCCTAACGTTCAGTGAGCATCTGCGATCTCTCCGCCACTACGCTGAGCACTGGGAGGAGGAATCAGACGTCATCCCTGCCCTCAGAGAGGCCACAGTCTACTGTGAGCTCAAGTTAATTGGTAATTCTGACCATGGGCTACATGTGTCTCATAAACACAGAAAAATAGGAACGTGAATTAATTACTACTTATTACATTCCATTCAGAAGGCAAAAATCTCTGTAACCTGTAATCAATAGGGCAAAAGCTAATTAATGTGGATCTTACTGGTGAAGCTTTTGGAAGCTAGCGTGATTCCTAGGAGATCAAACACTTACTTACACAGTCATGAAGCAGCCATTTGGCTGCTATTTGCTTACATTTTTGTGCAGGTCACTTCATATTTTAGTAACAGTAAAAACAGGATTCAAGTTTGTACTGTTAAAAATACATGCACACACATACACGGTTTTCTAAATAGGCTATATTAGTGAGATGTACTTTAGTATATAAACAATAAAATGTGTCCTTAAACACTACAAAATAACTGTTCATTAACAGCTCTTCATGGACATATAAAATTGCTCCTCTGTGATCTCCAGAACAACCAGTCTCTCCAAGAGAGACTGTGTGAAGTCTCTGATCAGCCCGGGGAGAAGACACCAGGGGGGTTTCTCTGAACCTCTCCGCTCCTCATTCAGAAGCAGGACCCAGGTCAGAGCTTCTCACCGCGGATGCTCCGTGGGGTGAACTCACCCAAGTGTGCAAGCAACTCACAGAGAGGAAAAAAGATAACCTGCATGCCGTTATATCTGAGGTCCCATCAGGAGAGAGCCCTCATCAGACTCATGTCAGAGTCATCACAGAGCACGCCACTGCGGCTCAGCAGTTTTCAGAAGAGCTTTTACAAGACTCTCGTGTCATTTGCAAGGGAAGATGGCGCCTAGTGAAACCACGTGGGGCAGAAAGTGAGGAGCGCATCATGACTGACCAAAATTACAGGAGTGATTTAAGAAATCAAAAAGTCATTACTCTAGTTGGAGTCTGACCAGGAAACTCAGATTTACACCCTGAAGCCTTAGGTAAAGTGCCAAACTCTTTAATGACCTAACTGCTTAGGATGTTAGGGAACTGATTACCAGGGGAGGCTGAACCACACTAGACCCACCTTTGGGATAAAAGCTACATGTAAGTTATGATCACTCCTTGTGAATAACATTGATATTTAATCCCTTAACTGGTTGGGTGGAGCCCACTTTGAGGAAAATATGAACATTTTATCATCATATATTTAATAATGAAGTACAGTTGAAATCAGGAGAAAAACACTTAAATATGAGAAACAGCATTTTTTTTTCAGTCCAGCTCAGCTCTTAATTGAACACCAACTCACGGCCGAAAACCAAAGTACAAATGACAAACAACACAAAATTATTGATCACTACTCCGTGTGCAGACTAGAAATAGTTATGGATAAATAACCACAAATTTTAAGAGGCCATTTGGCTTCATACGCACCAAACATTTCTGAATTTCTAAAACTCAGTTTACTTGGGAGTTCTATGAACTTCAGCAGGAAGCCATGTGGCACAGACAGGCTGTGACAGACGGTGTTATTGTCTCCAACCCTTCATCCCCTTCTAGGAGATGGCCTGCCACCTGCCTCCTGCCTCTGAGGACCTGCAACACCTCCATGGAGACAGGATCTACCTCCCCGGGCCACTGTATGCCTTGGCCACGTGGCCTTGGACTAACAAGGTGGGAGCAGATGTGACTGTGCACAGAAGTATCACAGGCTCCTGCCAGCTTTCTTGCATTTTTCTTCTCTATGTGGATGGCCTATCCCAGATGGATACTGCTCCTTCAGCCTACGTCCAAGAATGAGAAGATACTGGATGCAGGGCCAAGCATACCCAAGTAGAGCTGTGACAGCCACAGCCAACTGTGGTCACCCACAAGAAATGTCCAGAAGCAATAAACATTATTGGAGACCACAGAGGCTTAGGGGCTGTTTGTTACTGCAGCAAGGCTGCCTAATACATGTCCTTCCTTGGTGTGAGGTCAATAAAAATAATTTCACAGAAAATCATTGTTCAAATAAAAGTTGACTGTAAAGACCAGATGAGAAGATGTCTGTTCTCTGCACAGCAGGGAACACACACTCCTCACCTGGGGGTGGAAAATCCTCTTTTCTGCTTCCATATCCATCTGATTAACACATAGCCATAAGATAAAACCAGTAGCTCATGGCCAGAGAATACAGAACTGTGATATAAGTCAAGTTTCTGGTGATTCTTTCATCCTACAGTTTCTGTCACATCTTCTTCTCATACAATCTTCTCCCAAAGAACCCAGGACACTTCAATTGTCCTAGATCCTCATTACAAAGCTTTATACACTCCAAAACCATCCTCACTTCCTCCCATGTCCTACATTCTCAGGACTCACGTGACAACGTGTCAGAAACTTCAGGACTCTGAGAATTCTAAGCAGAGTTCCCAAAGTCTCCTGGAAATACTAGAAAATGAGGGCAGAGTTAAGAGGGAGTTATTTTAGGGGGTGGTAAAGATCTCTCTGGCACCCCTACAATCATACCCAGACCACAGAGATCCCTGGCTACTAGTTTTAAACATAAAACAAGCCTGTCTGGAAGATTCAAAATGCTGGGGCAATTCCACAGAAAACAAGAGAGCCAGAGAATGAATCCAAAAGTCATAGAAACCCAAGAGCCAGGTGGAAAGCACTTCTAATCCTTTGAAGACATTTGCTGGGGAACAAAGGGAATGAAGACATTCTCCCTCCTCCCTTCATATAAACATTTGCAATGGTTTTCTGAACAAAGAAGACAGCTGCTTTCCAGCTAGCAGATCAAAGTGTGAGCAGGTGACAATGACTGCCAGCCAAGAAGAGCCCGTTAGGCACCAAAGTGCAAAGGTGAACATTAGAACATATGGGATGAGTAGGTGTTGAAACAGCCACAGTGTTTCCAAAGGTTCAGAGAAGATGACTGTAGGTTGTGTCCTGGAGCTGGGAAAATGTTTGCATTGGAAGGGTTTCATTCTTGCCTAAAGCAATTCTCAAACTCTAAGTGTATACCTCTATCACTATGACATTTGGGGAAACAAAAGATTTCATTGTTCCCCCTTCCTCTGTGAACTCTGAGTAAATTCACATCGCACACTGGAGCCCTTTCATTTCTCTTTGGTTGCCAGCACAAAACTCTGTGGCATCTTCTTAACTGACAGCCAAATGTTTATAAGCCTACCTTTCCAGGACAGGTACTTTTTATTTGAACTGCCATTGATAGATTTCATTATGTTCAATGTTCTCAAAAAAAACAATCCCATTGGTGCAGTAAAATATATTGAGTTTGATGTGTTTGGCTGCAAAAACTTTCATTTGGCCAAGGTGACGTCATCTGAAGTCTCCAAGTGTAAATTATAATGTTATTTGAGATGAATGTAGAGTCATTTGTGGTGGTCAGGACGACACATGATGCAATCTTACACTCCATCTGCAGGTGTGGTATTGGATTCTTCTAGGACAGGCACCTGGTATCAATGTTCAGTCTGGCACCGTTTCAACAGAGTCACCCATGGCCAAAGATGGCTAAAAAACAGCACCCAGCTACAGCATTCTTTTATCAGAGGAATGGTAAGCAACAATTACAGTGAGTTCAATGGTGTCTGATTACTCACTCTGAACAGCACAAACATCTTCCTCTTTACTGTAACAGTCTCAGAGAAGACAGAAACAAAATCATGCCTTAGGAATAATAATACATATCACAATAATAGTATGTGGACCTTTACATGTGAAAATGACACTGCTATTGATGACTTGTATTTTTTCAAACACAGTTGATGCTCTATCCTGGGCCATGCAGGTTCCCTTTGTAACCAGGATTTACTTGAGGTATGTCTGTCTCTACCACTAGTCTTGAAGCCAGAGGAGGAGAGAGACCTAACAGAGCATGAAATAGTGCTTAATGCCTATTTGCTGAAGGAAAGACTGGATTCACAGGCCCCTCTTTCTCCTGGACTGGTCTTTGCAGAGGCATTTGCCTACAAATAAGACAGCTCCCTGGTTGGTGTTGAGGTCACAGACCGTAATCACAGAGCAGAGAAAATCATTACCACGGGTGCGGCCAGAGCCTGTGGTCTTAGCCTAGTAGGGATGTCTGCTCTGATGGGTAAGTGCCCTCAGGACGACCAGATGCATCAGCAGGTGGAAGATGACTCTTGGAGTATTTGGAGGGAAAGAGAGCGGCAGGACGTGCCAACGTGATTTCTAATTACCCAGCCACCTCGATACGCTCGGCTGGTAGGAAGCTGCATAAGACTGATCCTTCTACAGTTAATGGGACTCAACTTACGGGGCTTAACTGACACGGCTCCAGACATGCCTGACAATCTATCCAAACTGACTGGCCTGACAAGTTACAGAGTCGATCGACTGGAGCGTGAGTCCGGCCAGAAGGAGGAAACAGAATGGCAGGCCTCCCTTCTGAACGGCTCTAGGAAGATGAAAATCATCCATTCGTTTATTTAATTCCGTCCCCAGAGGAGAGGAAAGATGCAGTTTCACTTGTTTAAATTCAAAGATCTCAAAGCGATTCCATTGCCTCTATTTCATCCCTCCTCATCACATCCCCAAAAGGCGCGTAGGGGTTGGGAGCACGCCACGCCTGTTAGGAGGCAGGCTCAGCCTGGGTGGTGCGGTTGAGTTGGATGCTGTGTCCCGTGTCTCTTCCCCACCACAGGCTGCCCCTCTAGAATGTGCAGTCACTCACTTTGCCACCTCATCACATTTCAGCAGGGCTGGTGCCTTTACAAGTGACGTTGTCTGGAACACAACTTTCTTGTCCCCACACTGCGCCCTTCTCTCTCCTCAGCACTCTGTGGTAGGATGGTTCCACCTTGTGAAACGCAAACTCACAGTGAGTTAATGTTTTCCATAAGCTCTACATTTTTGCAGATCAGAGCTGGCATCTCAACCACCTGTGCCAGTGACAAACAGAAAGAATTTCAAGGTCTTCCCTTTGAACAGAGTGGTGACACAGGAGCCTCCTCAAGGCAGCGTTCGCCCAGACAATCGAGCAGGCACAGAACGGACTGAAGCCCCTGCATCCAGTCAGGCTTGCTCGGTGAGACTTTCCTGAAG